TCAGAATTCCCCACAAATCAGTCCCAACCTCTGAATTCCCTAAATCAGTCCCAACCTTCAAATTCCCCTCAAATCAGTTCCAACTCCTCAGAATAACCCCCAAATCAGTCCCAACCTCCGAATTCCCCCACAAATCAGTTCCAGCTCCTCAGAATTCCCCACAAATCAGTCCCAACTCCTCGGAATTCCCCCCAAATCAGGGAGAGGGGAACTCACCGACGTGGCAGGACGGGACGTCGATGAATCCCTTCAGGAAGTTCCCCAGGGGGCTGTTTTCCGAGGACTGGAAGAGAGGAAGGAATAAGGGAGATGAAGGAGGCCTGTGGGGCCAGGCCTGGTGACAACTCCCCTTGGGAGCCACCCCCCAGGTCTCCCAGTTGGCTAAAATTGAGGAAAAATGGGAAAAAACATCCAGGAGCATCATCCATGCACTGGATAAGGGTCTGGGTTGGAGCAGGACCAGGAGCATTCCCATGACTCTGGATAAGGGTCTGAGTTGGACCAGGACCAGGAGCATTCCCATGACTCTGGATAAGGGGCTGGGTTGGAGCAGGACCAGGAGCATTCCCATGACTCTGGATAAGGGTCTGGGTTGGAGCAGGGCCAGGAGCATTTCCCAGCCTCAGGAAAAGGATCTGGGCCAGCAAAAGGCTGGGAGCATCCTCCAGCTTCCAAACAAGGATCCAAGCTGGAAGGGGGCCAGGAGCATCCCATAGCCTCAGGATAATGAGGCTGGAGCCTCCTCATCCAGCCCTCAGGATAATGGGCTGGAGCAGGATCAGGAACATCCCCTGGTTTCTGGATAAGAGTCTGGGTTGGAGCTGGATCATGAGCATCCTTCAGCCTCAGGATAAAGATCTGGGCTGGAGCAGGACCAGGAGCATCCCACAGCCTCTGGATAAGGGTCTGGGTTGGAGCAGGACTGGGAGCATCCCCCAGCCCCTGGATAAGGATCTGGGCTGGAGCAGGACTATGGGCATCCCCCAGACTCCAGATAAGGATCTGGGCTGGAGGTGGACCAGGATCATCCCTGAGACTGCAGATAAGGATCTGGGCTGGAGCAAGACTAGGAGCATCCCCCAGACTCCAGATAAGGATCCAAGCTGGAGCAGGACCATGGGCAACCCTCAGCCTCTGGATAAGGATCTGGGCTGGAGCAGGACCATGGGCATCCCCCAGACTCTGGATAAGGATCTGGGTTGGAGCAGGACCAGGATCACGCCTCAGCCTCTGGAGAAAGATCTGGACTGGAGGAGAACCAGCAGCATTCCCCACCCCCTGCATAAGGATCTGGGCTGGAGCAGGACCAGGAGCGTCCCCCAGACTCCAGAGAAGGATCTGGGCTGGAGCAGGATCGGGAGCATTCCCCAGCCTCTGGATAAGGATCTGGGCCGGAGCAGAACCAGGAGCATCCCCCA